TTTTTTGTATTTATCTTTAAACTCAATCTCCAAAATACGATACGTTCAGTACTTGTATTTATACAGAATCAAGGTAAAAACCCCAAAATACCCCTTTCCCCATATAAACCAGTATCTCTCCTCAAAATCCCCTTTTCATCTTAGCCCTAAATTAAAAAAACAAAAGCCCCTTGCCTCTGTCGCCCGTCTCCAGCCGTCGTGACCCGTCTCCAGCCGTCGTCGCTGTCACCGTTGCCATCGACCTCGCGATCGATCGTTGCCATCGACCTCTTAGTTGCTCTGTCGCCTCGTTTCCATCCTAGATCTCGCAGTTGACTTCTTAGTTCGATCTCGTCATCGACCTCTTAGTTTGATCTCACTGTCGACCTCTTAGTTTGATCCCGCCACTGTCGACCTCTTAGTCCAACCGTCCCAGACTGTCACCAGTAGCCATTGTCGCCCATCTCCAGACAAATTTATCGTCGAACTCGTCGTTACATTTCTGTCCCAGATCGTTGTCGTCGACCTCTAAGTTCAATCTCGTCGTCGATCTCACTGTCCCCTTGCCACCGACGCATGTCGCAGTCAACGCTGTCGCTCGTCCCAGTCATCATTATCATCGAACTTGCCGTTTGAGGTACTGATTAGCACGAGCATTGGCTGGGTTGCCGTCGATCTTTTTCATTGTTGGTTTTGATATTTGGATATTGATTGTATGGATAATTATTGGCTCTTAAACTCAACAATTTTAGCTTAGTTGAAGCGTTTATATTGTTTTGACTTCATGACTTTATAACTGAGGAATAGTATTGGTTTCCTTACGTTTTTTAGAAATTCATAATTTATTGCGTATAGTTGTTTTTTATGTAATATATTCAGTCACAATTCTAAGACATCAACGTGATCCTCAAGACCCCGGATGCTAGATTTTAACATTTGATACAAAAGTCTGTTATTGTACATATGTTAACATTTGATACAAAAGTCTGTTATTGTACATAAGTTATTGTACATATGTTAACATTTGATACAAAAGTTGTATTTATTAACATTTGATATAAAAATATTACCGAAAGAAAAGGAAATGAAAAAATGTTGCTGGATATTCGAGAATTAAGATTGTCTGTTACAATTTTGAATCATAGGCTTTGAAATTTGTTTTAATGAAGGAATTATGTATAATATTGATAGACAACTAAAGTTGCTTTATGTTTTATGGTTGTAGAAAATTCTGCTAATTTGTCGGAGGATCAACGAACTGCCCTCCGAGATACTCCATTTTATGGGTATTTAGATGTTCGAGATCTTCCAATGCAACCAGTTATACTGAATTGTTTGTTGGGAGTATTTAATGTTGAAAAAAGTAGTTTTAAAATTAGAGAAAAATGGACCTCCTTTGGTGTTGAAGAAGTTGGGAGAATTACGGGTCTTCCGATGGAAGGATCTATAATAGACACACGGTTTCATAGGAGTGATCGCGATACAATCTACAAGCTTGTGCTTTCATATAGTACTAAGGCTGAAATTGAAGAAGATATGAAGCGCAGGACTAGAAGAGGTAAGAAGAAAAGTGATGAGGGTAAGAAGAAGATTGTATGTGCTAGAAGAGATAGGATGGGTGAACTTATCAAGCAGATGGCCAGCTTAGATATCCTCTTTTGCCACATATGCTCATGGCTTTCATTATAGGCTTCATATTATGCCCTCAAGCTAGTATGAGTTGTCCCTTGTTTGTATTTAGATATGCTGAGAAATTGGACACTCTTAAGGAGTATAATTGGGCTGAATTTGTATACAATGTGTTGCGTTCTGAGATGGATAAGGCTAAGAAAATCATCACTAAGAGGTTTGAGGGAAATCGATCTAGAGGTGGTTATATGGGGGGTTTTGCCTCGGTTTTGGTGGTAAGTTAACCTTTACTACATTTTTATGTCATTCTCCATTGCATATATGTGTCATTTAGTCATGTTTATTATTGAGCTAAAATTTTTATTTTCTCACAGATTTAGTTTTATGAGCTTGTGGGAAAATTAAGCCTTCGCGTAGGAGCAGAATCCCTACCACCCATCCTTAGCTTCTACAAGGGTCTGAGATCTTTTGCGAAGGAGTGCAGTTCAAGATTTAATTAGAAACCTGGATAATTTTAGAAAGCATATTATCGATTCGAGGGCTCATAAATTTGAAAAGAGAAAAGTTGCAACTACATCCACTGCAACTGAATCTGCCCCTACAAGATTGAAGAGAGAGAGGTATATATATATATATATACGTTACATCGAAATCTATGTTTTGATGTTGTTTTCTTGTCATTTGTATCTTAAGAAAGATAACGCCTATGCTATTTTTAATCCGAGAGTCACATCTATCGGGTGTTGTTGAGTTCCAAATCCCAGGATATAACAAAAATAACTTCTTTGTTTAACTCAAACAATACAAATTTAGTAGGTGGAAGTACAACAAAAGAACAAAAAGAAAAAAAATATAAAAAGGGGGGGGTGTCTCGGCCCATTGGCCGAGACACTCTCAGTGTCTCGAGCCTAGGCCGGGTCCCCCAGGTGTTTTTATGATGTTTTTCATAGTCGTTTTCGCCCGTTATTAGCTGCTCCGATAGAAAATCAACACCTGTCAACACCGATCGAAGCGAAACCCTAAGGTCAACGCCGGTCAACACGTAGCCCTAGGTCAACGCTAGTCAACGCGTTGCGATGACAATCAACACCGATCAAAGCGAAACCCTAAGGTCAACGCCGGTCAACGCGTAGCCCTAGGTCAATGCCAGTAAAAACATTACGATGAAAGTCAACGCCGATCGATGCGAAACCCTAAGGTCAACGCCGGTCAACACGTAGCCCTAGGTCAATGCCAGTCAACGCGTTGCGATGAAAGTGAACGCCGATCGATGTGAAACCCTAAGGTCAATGCCAGGCAACGCGTAACCCTAGGTCAACGTCAATCAACGCGTTATGATGAAAGTCAACGCCGATTGATGCGAAACCCTAATGTCAACGCCGGTCAACGCATAGCCCTAGGTCAACGTCACTCAACGCGTTGCGATGAAAGTTAACGCTAATCGATGCAAAACCCTAATGTCAACGTCGGTCAACGCGTTACGACGGAGATAATCAATTCAAAGTCAACTCAATAACATGAGCCAAAACGAACTCACCAACTTTGATTCAAGACTTCGACGACGGCCAATCGATAAACGCAGCGGCGGAAGAACTTTAGCTATTCATCAAAATATTAAATAGACTAAAAATCAAAGAATTCAAAGATCGAAGCTGACTACAGGTCCTTTTACACCGACTGAAGGTTGGACCGATCACATCCAAAGTATTTCATGCCCTTCTATAAAAGAAACGAGACTGAAACACTTTAGAGGGGGTATCTGTAGGCGTCAAAAATTGCCTACAAGCCCTCGCACATAGCTCGAAGCATAGAGAAGACGATGAACGTCACTATCCGAGTCACAAAAGATTAATTAACATCGATGAGCACATGAAACTGTGTGAAGCGACGAAACTACAGAATAACAGAAATACGAACCAATCGGGAGCTACGCTCCGCTTACAAAAAAAGAAGCGTCTCTCATGTTTTGTCTACTCCATGAATGATTCAATCATAGGAGCCTGTAGATCTCCTCGTCGGCTTTCATATGCACTTTGAATCGCGTAATTCCGAGTTCGGACGACGAAGATATGGCGAAAACGGACAGGACGCACGAAACAATGCCCCGGGCCTTAGCGGAGACACCGTGAGTGTCTCGGCCAAGGCCGAGATACTCATGGTGTCTCGGATGCCCCGGGCCTTAGCGGAGACACCGTGAGTGTCTCGGCCAAGGCCGAGATACTCATGGTGTCTCGGCCTTGGCCGAGATACCCATGGTGTCCACATGCTCCAAAAAGCCGTTTTACGCAGTTTTGAGCCGTTTTTCTACCACTAACCACCTGGATTTGTTTTAACTAATCTAATATCATCCAAGAACGTGATAAAATGGTTACAACCGAGGATAAAAGTGAATCGATGGTTCTTATCTAAAAACGGAGGTCCTAAAGCCTATAAATACATCCCTAGGGCCTTCATTTGCATAGATCTAGAATTCTTAAGTCTTGGCGAAGCCCTACTGAATCAGAGACTGAAGAGCACGAATTTTAGAGAGGAGGAGGAGATCAGATCGAGTTCTTCAACATAAGTAAGAGGAGTTCATCAAATCCAGAGATCGTACCTAGCTGCGATCTCGAGAAGAGTGATTATCTCGCTGTTGCCAAGATAATTACTTTGGTTTCTTGATTCCTTTAAAAATCAACGAAACTCCGGATTGATCTGATCACTTGATAGTCCATGGATATTAACATCCCCGGCACCGGCAAAGATCCCACGCAAGCAGAAGACCGATAAACGATCTCTGTGTGTGTTCTAAGGAAATCTTTCTGTTTCTTTTCATTGTAAGGAAAGCCTTATAAAAAGACTTAAATTTTCTTTTATTTTGAATCGTTGTAACGTTTGAAGTTGTAATGGATTCGAAAGCAATGAAACCAATTTCCGACCCGAACAAAAAAGAATACGGGCTGGGAAGAAATTCACAAGAAACGTACCTTCCACTACGGCCTCGCTCGCACCATGATCACGTGGTACGACTGCATACACTCTGCCCGAAGCTGTGGACTACTGCGCTGAAGGATCTGTGGTATATGGGACTATATGTCCCTGCGGAATCTCCTGAATGGCTCGGACATGCCCTCAATCCTCGAAACTGCTTGCGGTGCCTCTAGTCTCAGCTATTGGCCCTGACCTCGGCCCCGTACTCGGTTCTGCTACTGACCTTGATTCTTGCCCTGCTAGCCTCCTGCTGGTGCACTGCGACATTCGGCGGCCCTGTGTCCGAACTTGTGGCAGTGAAAACAAGTACCCTAAAATCTGTGCTGCTGCGACGCCCTCTGATCCTGATGCGGTCCCTTCTTATGAGGGCCTTGCTTCTGCTCCTGTGAACCCTTGCCTTGCTGTTGGGGTCCTCCGAGTCCTTAAAATGGTCTCTTGCCCTTGCACTTATCTCCAGTATATCCTTCTCTAGCATTCCCTTCCTTGCCCTTCTGGAACATAGCCGTCTCAGTCTCCTGTGATATAGCGGCATCAGCTACCTCCCATACTGAATGAAAATGTCGAGACACTAAATAGCGATGTAAGCTTGGGTGAAGCCCCATCAAAAATATCTGAGCTTGTCGCTCCCCAGTTTGCCACATGCCCATAAATCGGTGTAGTCCTACAAACTTGCTCTCATAATCGACTATAGACATGTCTCCCTGCTCCAATCTGGCTAACTCCAACTCCTTCCCGGATTTTGTCGTGGATGATACATATTGTTCGTCAAAGAAATAAATAAAATCCTCCCAGGTGATTGTCATACGCTGCTCCGGTGTGAACTGAAGTCGGTACCACCCTTCGACGTTGCCCTTAAGGCTGAAAGCTGCCAACCTTTGCTTCTGAACTGAATCAACGCCAAGCATCTCTAGAATGCTCCCCACATCCTCCTTCCATTTATAAGTTGCAAGTGAATCTGACGTGCCTTGAAACTCTAGCGCCCTCATCTTCTGGTATCTCTCCACCAAATGGAGCCAAGCCTCCTGCTCTGTGGACCTACTAACAACTGGTGGTGGTGTAACTGCTGGCGACTCCTTTGCAATAGGCACATGTGTTGATGGTGGCGGCATCACTGGAGATGGTGTCACTGGCGGAACCTGATTCACCATCTGCTCCTCAATCGCTACTAACCGGGCTGTAAGCAGTGCTATGAGGTCAATCAGATACTGTGGAGCCTGTTGCGGCTCGAGCTCTGAGCTCTGGATCAGCTTGCCCAGCTCCCTGAGCACGGCTTCCTCTATGACTACGTACTCTTCCTGACATCTAAAATTTCAGGAGGAGAGCTTATAAGACACAATAAATGAGACCCCAAGCAAAATAACGAACATATAGCAATAGGTAAATCGTATCACATATCATTCACATCATACTTTGTACGTCAAGCGAAATAATCCAAACAAGGAAACCCTCATGTATATACCTCGTATCTCAAATTATGAATCGCTAAATACCAACTCCAAATCATATGATTAAAACAATAAGTAAAAGAACAATACATAACCAAACCTCATCTAATACAAATCATATCAAATACCTCACACTACCCTCGGGTAGGTGGCACAGTCACAAGAATAATATTCCAATCAAGGAGAACTCACATAGAATATGCTGTGTATGACAACCTCAGTCTTATACTCTACTCTCGGGGTAAATATCATGGGAGCATGAATGCAGTCTATGTAATCCTCTATCAGAAACAACGATGCTTTTGTAAGGGCTCACAATATCATAAAGCATCACCTACCTTACTCAATCATCCTGTAGAAATAGACATATCACCCTATTCTGAAAAACAATGATGCACAACGGAGTGTAGTCTACTACGGTCTTATTACAGTATACCAACTAACCACCCTGAGTGTAGTCTACCGTGGTCTCATTGCGACATACCAACTAACCCACTCAAGCATCCAAACTATCATGAAATGCAAAATGCATCACCCTCTAACATGACAAATCAAAATATAGAGTTACACACCTCCAAATGCTCATGCGTGCTCAAGCTCCAATATGTGTACCCTCGTATACGATGCACGTATCTCGATGTGTGACTTGTACTTCGTGTGTGCAAAAAAAAAACGTGAAATAAAACTAAGATGCACAAAATAGCCCAAACCAGTCGACCGATCCTATGCCACTAGTCGACTGATGGCATGCATATGACGTGCACAAACAACCCTCATCGGTCGACTGGTGGCCCATGCCCGATCGACTGATCAGAGACAAAACAAAAGCCCTGATTGTCAACATCGGTCAACTGATCTCCTATGATCAGTCGACCGACCGACGCAAAATTCCAGATTCTTTGAAGAAGTTATGTATTCTCAACTATTCAACAAAAACCAAAACTTTTCAATGAAACTCATGTATTAAACTTGTTTAAGGTATATTAGGGTTTATTTTATTGCATGAAATCACGAATACAAATTTTGGAATAAAATTAAAACCCTAACATGTTCATATGTGTAAGATCATCATGAAACATCTAACTTTAATCAAAATTCACATTAAATCACATTCAAAACTTAAACACACATCTGGAAATCTGTTTTATATCTTTTTAAATAAAAACGATTAGATCTTTATATCATACGGTTCAAAAGATATGATCTCTATACATAAACTAGGTTTAGAAATCTGACAAAACTAAATAAAAACATTTAAAAATGGGGGATTGGTTTGGAGGAGATGAAACTCGCCTCAAAACGAGCTGGACTCCCCAAATTTGCAAGAAAGCACGATCCTCCTTCGTCGAAAAGCCCACGATCTCGCCCTCCTCTTGATTTTACTTCTCAAATCTCTCAAAATTCATCAAAATAAACTCTAGGGATTTTGTGGGAAGAGGGTGGCTTTTATTCACGTGAAAATATGAAGAAAAAGAGATTTTTCGGGTATATATACTCATATATATATAGGCAAACCCGAATCAAAACAATAAGACCCGAAACCAAATCCTATCTGAATTCTCGATGCCCGTCGGTCGACTAATCACTTGGCATTAGTCGACCGGCCAGCTCCTATCGGTCGACTGATGCCAAGTGATCAGTCGACCGGCCAGAGACAAAATTTAGCCTATAGGTTTTGTGCACCCGTGTATGTTTTCACTCGTTTACACTTATATACATACTTAATCGATCTCAATCGATTACTAACGTACTCATTCATCAATAAATGATATTTATCATAATAAAACTCATTTAATGTTATTTTTTATAATATTTCAAAATTTACGGGGTTTTACACTAGAGTTGAGGGTTAAGAAGTTGGAGCTTCACCTCTACAAGCAGCGAGGACTCCGCATAGCGACTAGCTACCATCATTGTTTTTCTTCTATTGCTTATGTATGTCTTTCTAATTTTACTAATTTCTAGCTCTTAGGACTCGGTGTTTGTAATCCCGTTGTGGACTCTTAATGAGATGAAGTTGTTAGATCTACATCATAAAACTTGAGATCTAAAACCATATAGCCATGATTAATTCAAAGAGATTAACAAGGATCTAAAAGAGCGGAAGCTTATACCTGAATCCATTGCTTGATCTTGATTTTGGGTTTTGGATCTTCTAACCTTAGGGTTCTCTCTAAAACCGAATTTCTTTAGCTAGATGGGGGTGTAGAGAATTAGAGAATGTAACCCTAGGTTAGGGACCATAACCCCTTATTTATAGATGTTGTACTTTTATAATTTAGCCCCTCAATAAATTACAATTACAACCTGGTATCTGCACATATAACCCCATGACTTATTTAAATACCAAATTAACCCAACTTAATTGATCACTTTAGTGGGTTATCCTGAAAGATAGCAATGCACATTGATTAATCATATGTGCCCACAAATAGATTTATTAGATTAAATCCAACAATCTCCCACTTGGGCACCATATGATTCCTTAAACTGTGTATAACCTTATGAGCTCAAAAATTGCTATCACTGAAATGGTATTTCCGAACAATCTCGTCCATTGACTATATCAATATAGGATCAAAGCGGCCTTCGTCACATTTATCGTGACTCGACCCATCAATGGTCACATATACCAATACAATCAAACGACATAGATCAATCATGGATGTGCAGCATGAAAATTACATGCAATGTGATCAGTACATGTCTATTTTCAACTGGTCCTCCTTAGTGAGGTCAAAACCAAACATAATGTAACAGAGTGTCTTAACTGAAAACTTTATTCTGATCAGACAATACAAACAAACATAAAGCACCACAAATACAAACTCCCACTAAAACATAATATCCTCAAATAATACCACACCCATATGAGCAGTATGCTCATGAAAGACCTTAGGTGGCAGTCCCTTAGTAAGAGGATCAGCTATCATGGAGTTTGTCCCAATGTGCTCTATGGATATCTGTCCACTCTGTACCCTTTCTTTCACAACCAGGAACTTAATGTCAATATGTTTTGACTTAGTTGAGCTCCTGTTGTTATTGGAATACATTACTGCAGATTTATTGTCACAATATAACCTTAGTGGTCTTTCAACATTTTCCAAAATGCGCAGTCCCGTGACAAAATTTCGCAGCCATATTCCCTGATTGGATGCCTCATAGCAAGCTACAAATTCTGCTGCCATAGTGGAGGAAGCTACTAGTGTTTGTTTGACACTTTTCCATGATATAGCTCCTCCTGCTAACATATAAATGTAGCCTGATGTAGACTTCCTGCTATCTTGGCATCCAGCAAAATCAGAGTCCGAATACCCAATGACCTCTAATTTCTCTGATTTTCTGTATGTGAGCATGTAATCTTTTGTTTTCTGAAGATACCTCATAACCCTTTTGACTGCTATCCAATGATCCATACCAGGGTTGCTTAAGTATCTGCCTAACATCCCAACAATGTACGCAATATCCGGACGCGTACATACCTGAGCATACATTAGACTTCCTACAGCCGAAGCATAAGGAATCTTCTGCATTTCCTGAATTTCAAGGTTACCTTTAGGGCACTGATTGAGACTAAACTTGTCTCCTTTAGCAACAGGGGTGTCACCTGGTCTGCAATCTTGCATGCCAAACCTTTTAAGTACCTTATCGATATAGCTCTTTTGTGATAATCCAAGAATACCCCGAGAGCGATCTCGATGTATCTGGATCCCTAATATAAAAGAGGCGTCCCCAAGATCTTTCATCTCAAAATTCTTTGATAGAAATCTCTTGGTTTCGTGCAACATGCCTATATCATTAGTGGCAAGCAAGATGTCATCCACATACAGAACCAGAAAAATATACTTACTCCCACTGAACTTGTGATATACACAGTCATCAACAATGTTCATCTCAAAACCGAACGAGATAACTATTTGTTGAAACTTATGATACCATTGACGAGGAGCTTGCTTGAGTCCATAGATGGATTTCCTTAATTTGCAAACCATATTCTTTGGGTCTCCTGACACAAAGTTTTCTGGTTGCACCATATAAATCATCTCATCAATGTCTCCATTGAGAAATGCAGTCTTAACATCCATCTGATGTAACTCAAGATCATAATGAGCAACAAGTGCCATGATTATTCTGAAAGAGTCTTTCGATGAAACCGGAGAGAAAGTCTCTGTATAATCAATGCCTTCCTTTTGAGTATAGCCTTTAGCCACAAGACGCGCCTTATACCTCTCCACATTACCGTTTGCATCCCGCTTGGTTTTAAAAATCCATTTACAACCAATTGGTTTTGCACCTTCTGGCAATGGGACAAGTTCCCAAACCTTATTGTCTTGCATAGACTTATACTCTTCATTCATGGCATCAATCCACTGTTGAGAGTTAGAACTTTTCATGGCCTGAGAGAAGTTGATTGGATCATCTTCTAACATTCCACTACTTTCCTCATGTTCTTGGAGAAATACAATATAATCATCCGGAATAGCATTTCTCCTTTCTCTCGTGGATCTCCTTAATGGCACTGGTTCTTGAGGTTGTTGAGT